TCTTCGACATATTTACTATTGTTGTTACTTTGTAAAGCATGGAACTAAAATTATATAATATTTTGCTGATCTAAATACAAAGTACCAACCTTTGTTTCCTTGTAATTGTTTTTCATGAATACAATGCCAACCAGCCATATAATCTTCAAATGATATAGCTGAATCAGAAAAACATAATGTTGCAAAAAAAGTTCAACTCATATTTTCTCATGAAATGCCCTTTCTATTAAAATTGACCTTTGACCTTACCAAAATATTATGGCGATGAGCATATATATATATGTAATGTTATTGTCAACAATTTTAAATCATGATCTGAGCATTCCAAAGCTATTTTTTATGAAAATCGGTCACACCAACCCAGAGTTATTAAATTAAACCATCCCGTTATCGGTGAAAATATTGCCATAACTGACATGACATGTTGCACCTTAAAAGGGCCCCTACACGGTAGTCACGCACGGTAGCTGATGACAACCGCCTTTAAATCAAAGTTAAATCATTCCTGATTGTGAAAAATCACATCCCATTCGGTCGCCAGAACTGCACCACATTTTCACCATTTTGGGGGTCTGGCTTCTAGACCATCATTCACGATACGGATCCAAGGCTTCAACGATCCTATCACATTGGACAGGGACAGCGTCATTAATGGTAAGAAAGTTGGAGGCGGACTGTGTGTATATATACTGAACCACAAAAGAAACGTCGCTTTGCAAAACCAAATGCAAAATTTTGTTCTTAAAAGGTGGTGTTTTTATTAGTTTGTACCGTTTTCTTAACATGCTTTTCGATCCAACTTGACAGTTATTACATTAGTGTGTTTTCTGATGAAAACGCATATCGACCAAACGCACCGAAAAAGGCAGACATGGTAAAAGATTCCGTATGACATTCGTGAAAATGATAATGCACGTGCATGTCGTGACAACCCTATCAATGAAAGCGGGTCCCAAGCTCGCATGAAATAATTTTTGCTTTGAAACAACCACCATGCCACATCATACGAGAGATCAGAGGAACCAAGTCGTGGGACGATTGCAAGTTGTCCAGATTGCACGGAGGGTAGCCAATCATTTTCATGTTCATGTTAGGACAGCAGGAGTGGTATCAGGGCACTAAGAGCATTCAAGACCGTCAACGCAGTGGGCGACCTTCAGTAACATCTGCAGGATCGCTTCCCAAGAACGACGGAAACAGCACGCCAGACCATTTCTGACTCAAAAAAGACCCATCACTGCCGATACAGTGCGTCGACGTTTGCGCGGAAGAAACCTCTGCTTTCAAAGATCATATCGTAGTCCTGCCGCCCAAACCAACCAATATGGGCATCTCAGCATCGAAATTGAGGTTATCGACAATGGAGAACTGTGCTGTTATCTCATGAAAGCCGATATTGTGTTTCGACAGTCGATGACAGTGAGAGTATGGCAAGGGCGTGGTGAAATGTTTTCCAATGAGTGTATTGTTGAAAGAGACTCGTGGGGTGGTCCAAGCATCATGGTGTGGGGTGCAATCGGTCTGAACAGTTAGTTGACACCGTGGTGTTCCAGAATCTTGGTCCAGGATGAGGAAATGACATGACAGCTGCTCGCTATATTGATTAAATCATAAGACCCCCACGTTGTACCACATCTTGGACGTTACAGAAATCACATCTTCCAGCAAGACAATGCCCACAATGCCAGAGCAACACTTGACGTCCTAAGATAGCATGCCATCCAAACCCTACAACAGCCTGCACTCAGTCCGAATTTAGGTCCAGTAGACCACCTTTGGGACGAAATTCAAAGAAGACTGAATGGCCTCAAAGTATGGACCCAAGTGCCTATGGCCTTCATCGACCGGCTAATTCATTCCATGTACAGACGATGCAACGATTTCATCGATGTCCATAACGGCCACACACGATACTGACTTTGGGGTATCTTAATGGTACCATTTTTGGTGATTTGTTTGTGTGAACTCTAAATGTGATTCCCGACAATGTGTTAACCATAATTGTCAAGTTTGATTGTTAATTAGAGTGAATTAAAGTGTGTGGTTTAAGAAACCCCCATCAGTGCGACATTTCTTTTGCGGTTCAGTATATAAATGCAGTAATTATATCGTAAGGGACACTGCGTGCACGGAAGATATAGAACTGTTATCCATATCGATGAGACCTAAGTATTTGCCTGGAGAATTTGGTCAGATATTTATATCCACTGTCTCCATATTCATCCGAAAGCAAACTCAAACAAACCGAAGGACATATGTCTGCTTACATCAGTAAGCTCGATGCCCATGCACCAAAACTGATTCTTGGGGACTTCAACGGCTGTGTGTTGAATAAAGTACTGCCTCATTATCAGCAATATGTCATTTGTGATTAACGGAAAAATAGAACCCTAGGTCTGTGCTACGGCAATATAAAGGAGCCTATAAATCATATGTGAAGCCGCCAGTTGGTCAGTCAGATCATAACGTTGTTTATCTCGTTCCGCAGTATAAACACACTCTCAAATCACAAAAACCAACAGTAAAATCTGTTAAAAATCTGGACGAAAGAATCTATTAATCAATTAAAAGGTTGCTTTGACTGCACAGTGTGAGATAACTTCCGCGAATAAATCGACTGATCTGGATTAGCTGAACGACATTGTAACAGATTATATCAAGTTCTGTATCGATGATATTGTTCCATCAAAAACCATAAAACTTTTCCCTAACAACAAACCTTGGATTAGCACTGAATTGAAAGGATTGAAATGACAAGAAGCGTGCTTTCTGCGCAGGAGACAGAACTCGAGAGAAAGAGATACAACGAGATATCAAACGTTTGACTAAATATGTAAACTTGATTACAAATAGAAAATAGAAAAGGATCTTCGAAGTAATAACTTGAAAGCAGAGTGGAATGGAATTAAAACCATGATTGGCAACGACAGTAAGTGTAAAGTCTCGAACACTCAAAACGATGTCTTATGTGCGAGAGATCTCAATAAATTCTACTCAAGGTTTGATGTACATGCCTTCTCTCAGACAAGAAATGCCTTCATTCAAAGCCTACCCGAAAATGATAATTTAGTTATCACCGACCTTTATGCGATGGTAGCTTTTAGGGAGATTGGCCCCGATGGAATACCTGGAAGAGTTGTACGGGATATACAGATTGATATTTCAGATCATATACAAAAAAACATATAATCCCTGTTCCCCAAAAGTCAACACCTTCAAACATTAATGACTACCGCCCAGTGGCTCTTATTCCAATAATCATGAAATGCTTTGAACGAATTATTTTGAACTTAATTAAGCAGAATACTGGACATCTAATGGATCCTTTACAATTTGCTTACTGGGCCGCGCGCGGGGTAGAAGATGCACTCATTTCACTTTTGCATAAGATCTAGAGAATTCAAAATCTTATGTAAGAATCCTCTTTGCGGACTTCTCTGCTTTTAACACAATCCAGCCACATTTGATAAGGAAAATATTCAACATTGAAGTAAATAGTAACATCATCAAGTGGATGCTTGTGTAGTAATATATATATATGTCTCTCTGTCTGCCTCTGTATCTGTCTCTCTCTATCTGTGTATCTCTGTCTCTGTCTCTCTCTGTCTCTCTGTCTGTCTCTCTCTCTGACTCTCTCTCTGTCTCTTTTTCTCTATGTCTGTCTCCCTCTCTCTGTTTCTCTCTCTCTGTCTCTCTCTCTCTCTCTCTCACTGTCTGTTTCTCCCTCTCACTCTCTGTTTCTCATATACACACACATATACATACACACATGCATGCATACATACATACATACAGACACACACACATACATACATACATACATACATACATACATACATACATACATACATACATACATACATACATACATACATACATACATACATACATACATACAGTACAACCAAAAATTATTGAGAATTTAAAGATTGTAATTTTATATATTTTTTCACTCATTACTCACGTATTAAATGTGAATATTAGCAGAACATAACTTCAGATTCAAAGACAGGTGAACAGTTAGTATTATGTCAAGTCACCATGGGCAGCAATGCAGGCTTCAATGCGGCGGGGCATACTACTGATCAAAGAAGTTAGAAAGTCGTGGTCATGCTGTCCCAATATCGGACCACCTCTTCTTTCATTTCAGCAATATTTGTCAGATTTTTCTTATTGACACTTTCCTTCATAAGTCCCCAAATATTTTCTATTGGATTTAGGTCAGGGCTATAGCTTGGCCAATCTAATAATGTCATATTTTGGGTCCGAAACCAGGCCTGAGAATACTTTGAACGATGTTTTGGGTCGTTGTCCAGCTGCAAAATCCAAACATTTCCATAGAACACTTAAGCAGATGGAAGTAAATGTCCTTCGAGAATATCTGTGTACCGCTCACTGTTCATCTTCCCTTCAAATACACAGAGGGGCGTTGCCCCTAACACAGATATGCCACCCCACACGTTAAATTTTGGACTGTAATTTGGGCGCTGATACAAAGGTCTTTCTGTTTGTTTGGTCCAGAATTTCAGTGTATTAGGAAACAGCCACACTGAACTTTCATCTGAGAAAATCACATTGTCCCAGTTAAAATTTCTATGCAGTAAGCACCAGTTCAACCTTCGCTCCTTTTGTTCAGGTTTCATGATCGGTGTTGGAATTCCTCGACATTTCTGCCAACCCATTGCATGCAGCTCAGTGCTAATTGTCTCCTTACAGACAGCCACAGTTCCTCTATCAATCATATCCAGCCTTACGTTTTCTAAACTCCTTCGTTTGTTTTTAGAAACAAGAATACCAAGCCGCCTCCTGTCACCGACAGTCAATTTTCTGGGCCTACCTGCGCCTCCCTGGTGCTCAATGCCATATCCATTTGCAATATTTTTCAAAACACGATAAACAGTGGACAAAGGGATGCCTGCTCTACTTGAAATCACTTTAGCTGATCTGATGTCCTTGTGATAATACTCTAAAATCAACTTCCTCTTCTCTAAATCGTCCATACCGAGGATCACTGAAAATGTCGCCTGCTAGCAAGTAAACAAAGGGGGATAACTCTTCACAAACTAATGAAAAAGGATTAACGGAGTTGTCTCTCTTGAATGAAACCAAGCTCTTGATAGCTGGTCAAGGTTGTTTATACTAGAAATCCAATTAAACATATTCCTAAAATTCTCATTAATTTCTGGTCACACACACACACATACATACACTGTGTCACTATGTTGTCAGCAAATTAGGTACCTGCAACTGGGTTTATTAACGTTGTCAGCGACACAGCTGCCTGGAATTAAATTTTGAGAGTAACGGGTTGGCTACTGAAGCTAGGTATTATGGATGCGGAGCGGGATATTTCTGACTGACCATCCCTGTCCATGTAATCCGCGGCAGTCTGATGAAGCATGCTGTGAGTTAGTCAATACTAGAGACAGCGGTTGTGTCTAACTCCTCCAGGATGTCGCCTGTCTACCACTGCTGCAATAATGTAGTTGAGTCTCCACGGTGACAGTTAGGTGGTCCAGCTCTGGCTGTTGATAGTCCTTGGCTCTTAGTTCAATAATGTAACATGTAATATTGGTGCATGATTTCAAAAGGTATAGTGTTTTGAAATAATGATTTATATCCTGCTGACATGTTACTGTCCTCAGAGGATGATCGTATTATACGTAACGATTCATTGCTCTGAATAACATCGGTCATTTGAAAATATACCTCTTGTGACGTCATCAAATTCATGACGGCATAACATTGTCAGGGCATTGTTCCAAATCTACTGTCAAAACTCTCCAAGGAGATATCGTTAGATCTCACACAAGCAATAGCTCCTCTGGAACACAGTTTTGGATGATAAAACGTGAATGACCCCCCACAGATATTATGTAAGTCCCCCCGCCCCCGCATGTCATGTAAAATGTCATGTCATTACCAAACCACACACACACATAATTTTAATCATATTTTTCAATATTTTTATGTACAAAATTGCTGAATCCCCTAGTTTATGTGTACAAAATTCATGACTGATCCCACCCTTCCTCCACAGAACAAAACTGGTGACCCCCCTAAAAATCATCCCACGCCCCTTCACCAACTAATTCAGAGACTATGGTATTCTTCACTGTGCTCATTCATTATTTTTTTGTCAGTCATTATATGTACAAATATTAATTACGCAACGCTAATCTATTAATCTATTACATGAAGGAAGACAGGCAGGTAGGTTATTTAAGTCTCAGTATCCATATGTACACAAGACATTCTTGTACAATAATGGGAAGTGTATATGGTATATACCCTTGAAACAATACCTTTCATCACATGAGTGAGTGAGTGAGTTAAAATTTTGCATCGCATCGGCAATATTACAGTCATATAGCAATGAAAACAAGGTAATCAATTTATATTTTCACAGATATATATTTAAAACTAGTAATTAAATCTAAAATACTTAAACTACAGAGGTCGGTACAATATAACAACAGGCTATAGATCCCCAGCAACTGAAGGTAGATCACCATACTAGGGGCCATGGTGACGAACAGTACCTTTGCTACCTGCATGGACCCTAGTTGGATTTACACCATCCCTTCAGCCGCTGGCGATTGTAGGAAATATTTAGCCAATGTTTAAGAGAACAAAGTTTTAAGAATCCGGAAAGTTTAAATTTAGCTTTGAATTCATCACATGAAGGTAGAAATATATATGTTAACATATGCACGTATAAAAACACCAGATAAAAGGAAATGGGTATATAAAATTTAAATTGTTTTTCCTTGTTGTCATTAGGACACACGTCCGTTCAATACGTCCCCTGATTAACAGGGAACGGTCCTACCCAATTGGTGTCTTCACGAAATATAATTAAACGACACTGTGTACCTATTTATTCTATTTTATAATTTATTTCTTTATATACTAGCCACATAAAAAAAACTGTGCATTGTCAAAATATTATCCCAGTTGATAAGTACGATAACAATGTCCAAGGTACATATAAACTTTAATGGAGGGATCATGAGACCATAACAAGTCGGGAGAATTTTAATTGAAAAGTCAATCACAATGACGTCACGAGTCCACAAGCGGGACAGGGGTCAAACGACCATGTCACAAGCTCAATAACGGGTATGTCCACCATCGGCATTGAGAACAGCAGTGCATCGACGACGCATAGAGTCTATCAAACGTGCAAGAAAGGCTTGTGGGATGTTACGCCAGAGTCTCTCAAGTTCTGTTGCAAGGTCAAGGACGTTATCTGGCGGATAGGGAGACGGCGTAGACGTCGATCCATCTCGTCCCAAACATGCTCTATCGGGGAGAGATCCGGTGAAATTCCAACGTTGTGGTGTTGCAAGAAATCCATAGCAACCCTTGCCGTATGAGGGCGGGCATTGTCCTGTTAGAATGTTAACCCAGGGCCATGACGTTGCAGAAAAGGAATTGCCACAGGTCGAAGAATCTGATCCCTGTAGCCCACACCAGTTAAGTTGCCCTGAACAATCACCAAAGGAATTCTTTGGCTTGCTGTTAAATCCACCCCTAATCATCACGGAACCATCACCAAATCGATTCCTCTCCAAGACACAGGCCTGTGCATAACGTTCTCCCACGCGTCTATAGGCACGTTGACGTCCATCACTATGGGAAATGTTAAACCTGGACTCATCTGTAAAAAACAACATTTCTCCACCAAAACAAGGGTCTGCGGACATGATTTCGGCACCACATTCGGCGAGCTTGTCGATGACGTTGTGTCAGGATAGGCCGTATGGCGGGACGTCGTGATCTGATCCCGTGATGACGTAAACGTTGTCGAACTGTGTTGGGGTGGATACGGCGAAGTCCCGTGATGGTTCGGGCAGTCATCACTGCAGTCTGAAACCTGTGGCGAAGATGGGTCACCCTTATCCATCTGTCCTGTCTTGGCGTTGTTACACGTGGACGTCCAGAACGTGGCCGATCGATGACGTCATTTGTGTTCTGGTAGCGTCTCACCAGTGCAGAAATGATGTTCCGGTGGCAGTGGAAATGTGCAGCCACTTGTCGTTGAGACATTCCTCCACGGACCATCCCAATGGCCTCATGACGTTGTGCAGAAGTGAGCCTTGGCATGCTATGCGTTTCAATAGCCGTTTAATTTTTTGAACGATCGCAAGGGCAGGGGTTGAGCTTTCCAAAGTGACTGTATTGTGTGGCATTCATTTGCTCTGTTTCTCTTTCCCGGAATGCACGTGCAACAACGTATTGCGCGTCTCAAGGACGAACCCACTGACGTCACGGAACGTGACAGGTGCATGCATGTTGGATACATGTCACTAATCTCTGAGTTTAAATCCTTATGTGTCTACACAGGTTTGATAAATTTAGATTTTATATTTTTGTATGCAGAGTTTGTATGTGCCTAGTATACTACGTCACTGTCAATGTTGTACGACCGCTAGTCGTATCCCCATTGCAACAAAATATACACTTATATATAATTCTTGGTTTTTAAAGGAAATTGATTTGATTCATAAATTTTGATCATGTACTGTAAGAAATAAGTTCTTTTTAAATTTGGTCGAATGAAAACATATCTATGATTGTCACTGGCTGGACCCCCGGAAGTGGTTGAAGTAGCGTAAAATAATTGTATTCCGAAGAGGGTACTTAGGACCACAGCATCATTGCCAGAATTTTAAACGTAGAATGTTTGTAGTTTTAAGTTATGGCTAAATTGCTCAAACTTCGCCAACAGTTGAAGGGATGATGTAAATCCAGCTTGGGCCCATGCAGGTAGCAAAAGTAATGTAAGTCCCCATGGTCCCTAGCATGGTGATCTGCCTTTAGTTGCTGGCGATCAATAGCCCGATTTGATATTATGTTGTTTTCAAATGATTTAGCATTTTACACTAAATTAAACTAGTTTTAACTAGTAGTCCTTATAGTTTCCTTCGCTGACAGGTTTTTAAAGAGTATGAATATATTTATTCTCAGTATTTGACTTTTTGTCGTCACGATATGGCTTAAATATTGCTGATGTGTCGTAACATTTTAACTCACTCACTTACTCATGTAACTGGTGTTACATTTATGTGATACCTTTCTCTGTTGAAACAAGGGAGAGACAGAGATTCCCAATATGCATCCTGACGTATCTCCTGAAGTCAGACCTCCACGTCCAGTTCCTTTGACAGGGTATTGGCAGATACAATGTGTATATGTTATTTCGCCAAAAGTTTTGGAAACACGAATTTGGTTGTTACCGAGTTTGGCTTTGCACATTGGTTACATTTGTGTTTCATATACATGGAACATTCCAACAAGGCTCTGACAAAGCAACCTGTCGGTCAATCATTAACACCGTTATGATAAAATAGGTTACTGATAATTCTTCGGAATGTATATTCATATGATCTTCTTTGTTTATGATATTACAACCACATTTAAACTATGTCAACCAAAGAAATCTGTTATCCTGTAGTATATCTGCCAAGTCCTTCTTGTATCTGTTGTAAAAATTGTCCAGCAAGACACGGGTCTTTTCAAGCATCGGTCCCTTAAGTATCTTCTTCTTACTGACCCGTTGATGAGGCACGTTAGTAATGGAAGTCATCGACTCTTCGGTATAATCTGAAATACAATGTCGCTTTGAATGAGTTGTCCTCAAGAGGGAATGTGTGTATGGCAGTAAATGAGTTGATCCAGAATGTTGATGTCTCTGGACCATAAAGTGAGGATTATGTTATCTTTCCCTTCACAACACTGAACTCTGCTCCCCTCGGTTACAAGATAAAAATATATTGTGAAACGGGAACAAAAAGAAACTCACTCAGATTCAGATGGTTGAACACTTTTGTTAGCTGAGCTTTTGGATCTTGATCATGGTCCTCTGTTCGCAATATAAGGAATTGCTCTCTGGGAAAAACCTTCAGCCATTCTCGCATGAATACGGAATAACACCCTAAGAAAATACGTGTCTGTGAAAGAAAAGTACATGTTGTTATCTGAGGTAACGTACATCAGTTCAATCCTTCTTCACCGTGAAAGGTTGTACTGGTTAGTTTGTAGACAGAACAAAAAACAATCACCATTCAGTTGAAAGAGTCTTAAATTCCAAAAGATGAACACAAGTTCAGAAGTATAATTAACATGAAACTTAACACGTATGATCACATGTCAAACTATGATACCAATCGTTGTCAGTAAGAAAATCAGCACAACAGATCCAAAGTCAGTATCGCCCGTGACCACTCTTAGTGACTTTTACTTCCATGCATCTTCTGTACATGGAGAACATTAGTCGGTTGACGAAGGCAATCCGTAGTTGTCGGCCTTGGTCGTACGTCATCTGCTCGCCTTTGAACCTTGTCCAACATGCATTCTATAGGGTTTTAAGTCTATGGTTAAAGCTGTCGATTACATGATTCAGCTGTCATGTGTGCGCTGACTGTGTGGGCACGGGCGTAGTCTTTATGGTAGACGAAATTATCGACTACACTATTGCCTCTTCATTGTAAACCAAAAGTCACTGTGTTCTTTAATCTGATTGGTTGAAAAATATGATCGAATGGTATTCGATTCCCGGAAATTCGCTGCGTATTAATACGTACAAACATCGCTCACACCATTGTATTGTTACGTCGTCAGTTGGGATGACGTCATTCAAATCATATTGTGATGTAAAGTCTGAATGACGTCACAAATGAACAGTTCCAGATGCTACCATGGGAAACAGCCGAAACGGCCGGCTGATGACATTTCACTGCTGTACCCGTACTCGATGCCACGGGAATATTTCATTTGAAACCTCCGGCTGACACCGTCGGTTCCAAATAAATTCCCGTGCTTCAAATACTCAATAACACCCGGAAATTGTTTTATATGTTTTCTCCGTGATCAGCAGTATTCCAGTTATATGACGGTTGTCTATAAATAATCGAGTGAGTGAGTGAGTTATTATTTAGCGTCACATCGGCAATATTTCAGCCATATCGTGACGAGAATAATCTAGTTATAAATAATCGATTCTGGATAAGACAATAGAGGTATTCTCATCATGAGCATTGATTTGACGATGTCATCAAATACGTCAGCGAGCAGGACCACACGATCCCGTTAGTCGCCTCTTACGACAGACGTCATTGCAGATGTACTGATGCGTTTATGGCGGCTTCCAACTATTTGTCGTGCACTTTCTGCAGACCTTATGGAATGTTTCTGAAAATGTTGAGGCAAAATCTGTCGGTCCTGTGCAGCTTCATCACCCAAGGTCGACCATGGTGCTGTTGATGACCTGTGGATGGTTCTCACGCGGAGAGTACAAGCATTACCAAGCAATTATGCAGTCTCGCCAGCATGCAGTCTTACTTAAGCCTGCTTTCCAAGTATAATTTGGCATGGAGGTGGTATCTATTCAAGAATGATTGGTCCATGTGTTAAGGTGCCTTTTATGAATAAAATGTACAACAAAGTTCTCGTCCATTTAGGTACCAAGGTCGTTTGCTAAGCTGCATTTAGTTTATTGATATTTGTGTCATTGGCAATGTTTTCTCCCTTAATATTAGATTTGGATAAAGACTAGTGTAAAACAACGAGATACTTTAGTTTTAAACAGATCCTTTGACATTTCAGGAACTTTCATAAATAATATCAAGAAGTGATGTTTCAATTGCGTTAAATTTCTGACGTTGTCACTTGTCAAAAGACATATCCTACCCGAAGTCTTTGTGCTATGTCCAGGCTGTACAGACATTGCTCCACAGTGTGGTTCTTCATACAGGCCTCCTCGATCCGAATATCTCCAGTCACAGCCTTATGGAAATCTGCAGCTGAACTTCCACCCATCATCACGTAGTCAGAATATAACCTGCAATCATATGGCATGCATGTGTGAATAAAGAACGACATTACGGAAATGAGCGCTCAGTACGTTATGAAGTGTTTACGTTTTGACGTGATGCTGAGGGTTCAAGCTGAAACTAATTGACGTGATAAATGTTATGTTTAGAAGTTTACTTTTCACTCGAGTTCCTTTATTATTTTGTCTGCTGTAATGCAATAGTTATGTAAAATTCACATAAATTTCACACAATTGTTTGCCCTTCAGAATGGTAAGCGTATGTCAGTGCAAGTTATTTCAGTGTGTATAGAAAGGAATGGGTACCTTCAAAATAGTAATAATCTGAAACAGGGTAAATAATTGCAGTTTTCAACAAATAACAAATAAAGATACAATATTGAATTTCTACAAATGTAATATGTAACGAAATACTTGTTTCTATAACTTGTTTTCTATATACTTATCGTATAATTTTCATAATTGCATTATTCTCCTTCTGTCACAATACACTTGGATGCCCTTGTCGGAAAGTCACGTGTGCCTAGCCATGCAAACTTCGTATCTACTTCTAAGCTGTTTGTGTACTAATTGCATTAGTTATGATTGTTACCTGCAACGATGATACACCTGAGGGATTATTTGATTAGAAAACTATCAATCCATTGGTCGCAATATTTATTTTTCATAATACTAAAATCTAACTTCTGATGCAAAAGAGACATTTCAAAGGTGAGGTCTGAATATCAATCATGCTTTTCTTGTATCTAACCAATCACAATGCTGTCAAAAGGGACCGAAAATTAAATAACTTAAACAGTTTGACTGGTTTATTAAAAAAACAGTCAGATTTCTTAGCCTGTATATAGGCTTCGAAGAGGTTTCGGGTGAACAGGCCAAGAAAATGCAGGGAAGGTCAGGTGTGTTGGGGTGAAAATATCTGAGGCTGTATATTCCAACGAACTTTTCTTTTTCCATGACGCCCACTACATATTCTGGTCGTACTATGGCTGGACCTCCTAGTTAAAACCATAAGCATAGCGTAGTCGGTAACCATGTCGCTAAGATAGGGTGTCTGTGCAGACGCTGGGCATCCACTAACAAACTAACATTCATTACATAATATACATTTCATATCAATATTTTGACACAATCACACATTGATGGCTACCAGTGGGAAGTAAATGGCATTGAGCAGTGAACAGAAAGCATTCTCTTTCACTTTCTCCATATGAGATCCGGGTTAGAATTGGTCTTCAGCAACCCATGCTTGTCGTAAGATGCGACTAAAGAGATTTGAGACTAACGGGATGGGGTGGTCAGGTTCGCTGACTTTGTTGACGTATGTCAGCATATCCCAATTGTGTAGATCAATGCTCATGCTGTTGATCACTGGATTGTCTAGTCCAATCTTGATTACCCATGAAGGTCCGGGTTAGAATATTGATCTTCAGTAACCCATGCTTCTCGTAAGAGGCGACTAACAGTATCGGGTGGTCAGGCTCACTGACTTGGTTGACACATGTCATCGGTTCCCAATTGAGCAGATCGAAGCTTATGCTGTTGATCACTGGATTGTCTGGTCCAGACTCGATTATTTACAGACCGCTGTCATATAGCTGGAATATTGCTGAGTGCGCGCAAAACAATACTCACTCACTCCAGACTCGATTATTTACAGACCGCCGCCATATAGCTGGAATATTGCTGAGTGCGGCGTTTAACTAGAAACAATCAATAAATCCTCAATGGAAGGGAGTGCTGCTCTTCTCAACACAATGCACATATGCTTGGAGCAGTGCCTTATTACTTTGTGGCTTCAGTGCCTAATTCCCTTGTGTCTTCACAAGAGAATCATCACAACTTGATATGTGCAAAAGTGCGCAGCTCCGGATACGATTGAGGGAAGACCAAAGGTGGCGGGCTCTATTTTCTGACATAATTCTACGTGTGAGGGTATCAATGTTCTGAATTTCTTGTTTCGTCCGATCAACAACACCAAAAGAATATGAGAGGACGGACCCAGCATAAATATTGGTGGCTTTGAATTTAAAAAAAATGGATTCTGCCCAAAGTTTGTCCTATATTAAGGCATTCTGGAGTCTGTCTCTAACCTGCACCCGTAAGTACGTATTGTCCTAATCTTCCACTATTTGGCAAATAACTTCTCTCTCAAGTAAATTGACAGATGTTCCTGTTTATCCCCCGCCACGCGTTTAGCGTGAAGCGGGGGGATATAGTATTAGGCTCCGTCCGTCCGTACGTACGTACGTACGAATTGAAATATCTTAAGAACCGTTGACTAGATTCTTCTAATATTTGGAACCTAGGTTCATCGCAGTATATCGAAGGTCCCAGTCAGGTTTGGTGACCTTGACCTTCATTTCAAGGTCACAAATTGACTTTAACGTTCTACTCTTGGCAGGGAGATATCTCAAGAACCGTTCACTAGATATTCTTAATATTCAAGAACAAGCTTTATCTAGGGAAGGCGCAGGGCCCAGTCGATTTGTGTCGCCATGACCTTTACATAATTTTCAAGGTCATGGCGACACTTTGAAGATTTCAGCATATTCACCTGCATGTTATGCTTGTCAGCAAGATACCTCAAGAACCATTAACTGGATTTTCTTCATATTTGACACCAAGGTTCATCTAGGAAAAGTGCAAGTTCCAGTCGATTTTGGTGATCTTCACTTAATTTTCAAGGTCAAAAAGACACTTTGAAGATTTCATCATGTTAAATCGCATGTTAAGATAGTCAGCAATATATCGCAAAAACAATTCACTGGGTTTTTTCATATTTGACACCAAGCTTCATCTAATAAAGGCGCAGGGTCCAGTCGATTTTAGTGACCTTCACATAACTTTCAAGGTCATTGCGACACTTTGAAGATTTCAGCATGTTAACCTGAATTCACTGGATTTTCTTCATAGACTTTCAAGACTTCCCTTGAATGTTTTTCAATAAGCAATTTTTTTGGTACCATTTTTGCATATTTCATACACTATGACATTCATGTCAAGGTCAAAGTCAGTCTTGAAAATATTTGTGTGTTTGGATAACTTAAGAGCAAGATATCAAGAGAGGTTGACTGGTCATGTTGACATTTAACTTCATCTTAAACTTTCATTACTTTTTAAGTTTGATTTGATAATTTGCTGCGGGGGCTTATGTCACCTTAGATACAATGCTTGTTCTGTCTTACATAATTAACAGGCACTTGTTCTACCCCTGGAATATTAGTGACCATCGCTAAACATTACCCACTGGCCCATTTACCAAGTATACGATTGTTGCAGAACGAAATACAAAAAAACAAACACGTTGAAACACAAAAGAAGTTCCCACCTGTCAGTTGGATTCCTAAAGATGATGATGAACTTTGGATCTGTATACACGTGTCTCATAAGATGGGGTGTCATAACCACTGGTTTCTCTAAACCTGCATTTTGAGGTATTTTTGGCCATCCTCGGAAATCGGAAAAATCTGATGGAGTTGCGTCACCTAGACAAAAGAGAGAGTGATTGAACGAGTATGTTTTAACAAAGCTTAAATGAGTATTTCGGTTATCAAAGCATACAACTTTATCAATATCACCTTCTTGTAAATTCCGATATTATTATCAAACTTATGTGACTTCAACCAAATGAAGATTAGATGATTACACGCGCCACGCGCACGCTCTCACACCCATCCATCCATCCAAGAGATCAGCCACATTCTTCAAAATGCCCAACCTCTGAAACCAAACCTCATCCAAGGAGGGAAACAAACCATAGATGACCGCCAGGAGTGAGTGAGTTTAGTTTTACGCCGCACTCAGCAATATTCCAGCTTTATGGCGGCGGTCTGTAAATAATCGAGTCTGGACCAGACAATCCAGTGATCAACAGCATAAGCTTCGATCTGCTCAATTGCGAACCGATGACATGTGTCAACCAAGTCAGCGAGCCTGACCACCCGATCCCGTTAGTCGCCTCTTACGAGAAGCATGGGTTACTGAAGATCAATATTCTAACCCGGACCTTCACGGGTCTGACCGCCAGGAAGACCCACAAATCACCACTGCCTCACCCTTCAAGGGACGAGCCACAGGCCACCTGGATAAGGATACTAACATGCTTTCAGACACCCCACCCACATGAAGTTCATGAAAGCTCCCATCACAATACCATGTCTCCTTAAACCACCTTTGATGATCACATGCTCTTGAAATATTGGGTTCACATTGTTTTATTTTCACAAATGCTGAAGTCTTTCAACACAAAGTTCATATAACTTCATAAAGCTTCTATTGATACGTAAAGCATTGTTATGCAAGCGGACACGTTTCCATTACGTCACCAGCTCCTTCCCTTCAACTGGTTATCAGTTCTGTAGACAAATGTGCTTAGAAGAAAAGGGATCCACACATATTTTGAGCGGCGAAGCGTTTGCTTAAATGTTGTAATTCACATTGTGGTTTAATAGGGTTTTAAGGGTTATGAAATATATTTTTACTCTCTTCCGGTTTATTAGGATTTTTAATTGACAACAACATTACAATAAGCATGATGTTTCGCATTATTCAGTGCAGTAGAAGTCTTGAATACTAATAATAAAAGATATGTAAATATATTTGTGTTTGCAACCTACCAACAGCCACAAAACATTCTCCAAAACTAAGTTCCATCAAGTGAATACCTCCAACTAATATTCAAGTAATATTCCTGTGCCAACTAATGAAGGGTTATCTTGTTGTACATAGCCGAGGCCAATGATGTCGATACAACACACCAATAAAGGTGTTCAACTATAGAGAGCTGCATCATGACGTGCTTCAGTGAACGATGTTGGACACGGTAGGGCTGTCAGTATGAGTGCGTATGATTACAACATCGATGTGTTTCTTACACAAAACCTTTGAGATGGACTTTAATTTCGAGACTTCATTAAATTCTGATTTCGAGGCTTTGGTGTGGGTAAATGTGAGTTGATTGGTGGCGAAGGTTTGTCCTCAGGTTCTGACATTGATCTTCACAAAGCAAGCCAATAAATGGAATCTAACTTTGTTAATTTGCTATCCTGTTACAGACGCTCGCAAGTAACTTCATCGAAAATAGCTCAAACAAGTGACACTTATGAACAAAGCGCAGATTCAAGTTTAGCAAGGTTTGGCCAACCAATATCAAACCTTCATCTCAAGAATTTGTATGATTCAACATATACTGCAATCAAGAGTATGTGGGCACGTCGCTTGTATTGGGTGTGGGTAAAAGAAGGACGTAGGAGGGACAGAGGAGAGGGCATAAGGAAAGAAAGGAAGCCAAATGTAGCATTGATGGTTTTCATATCAGGGTCAGAAATCAGAAGGCGAGGGATATCGTGAGAATACGCTTTATGAAATTGCCTCATCCCTGCGAAAATATTATATGAGAAGAAATGGTAGATGTGTGAATGAAATCGTTACATTGCAGACTCAAAAACGTCTCTAAAAAGATCCAGGGCACAAATGAACCTGACGATTCCATCAGCTATGATGTTGTTCATATCCTTCAATACTGAAGAAGCTTTGTAAATCCTCAGCCTGAATGAACCACCTGACACCAACTTCTCCATAGACTCCTTCACCATCCTCACCAAATCATGCATAACCTCTACCAATTTTACCTGTAGAGACGACTCCCAAGATCCCCTCTCAAACCTGTTTGTTGGAATATGAAAGATGGATGACACCTTTGTTATCCTCAGAAAAGACCAGTACCCAACCCACTACTCAAACAACCCCGTATCAAGTTAACCATGGACACAGAGAGCAACAAACTCGCCTTTATCAACGTCCTTGTTTCCAGACACCCAGCAACAAGATCAAACCATAGTCCACAGGAAGCCCATCCACTTAATACATTCACGTAAATTCTAACTATCCCCCCAAAAACATAGCCTGGCGTCATTTCAACTCCAAACAAACAACCAAGGAACATCTGTCCAAGCAAGCATGACCTTGTAAATGAACATGAACCCAGTATCGAACCAAGTAAGATTGGTTTTTGTTTGTTGTTTAACGCCGCACTCAGCAATATTCCAGCTATATGGCGGCGGTCTGTATACAATCGAGTCTGGACCTTATCATTCCAGTGATCAACACCATGAGCATCGATCTACGCAATTGGGATACGATTACATGTGTAAACCAAGTCAGCGAGTCTGACCACCCGATCCCGTTAGCCTCATCTTTCGACAAGCATGGGTTGCTGAAGGCAAATTTTCACCCGTATCTGAACGGTTTCCAACCAAATTAATCCAGAGGAGCATTTTCAATACATTTCCACTACACTCCAGCCAAACCTACATTGTCAATTCTTCGAATCGAAGACAAGTGAGCGCCAGTAGGCTCCACTGTCTTTTCGTCAAGTACTTATGGTTGTTAATGTGAATCTGTTACATGTCAGGGGCGGTGGGGTAGCCTAGTTGTTAAAGCGTTCGCTCGTCACGCCGAAGACCCGGGTTACAATGTGTGAAGCCCATTCCTGGTGTCCCCCGCTGAGATATTGCTGGAATATTTCAAAAAGCGGCGTAAAACCTCATTCATTCACTCACTGTTACTGGTCACAAAATAGAAACATACCTCTCTTCACTTGGCTGCAGTCACTTCAGCTTGATAATGGTGAAAGAAACTAAGTAGAAAACGTTGCTCTATGCAATAAAATTGTTATCCATAAAAGTTCGCTATTCAGTAATCCACGCCTTCAATGCCAATCAAACAATAAATGTTTCAGCTATACCACGACGCGTCAGGAAGCTCGTCTTTGGCGTTGACGTACAGTAAGTACAATGATTTATATCATGTATATTCATCACGTCTACTACCTGTAATCATGTTGTGGTAGCCTGTTTCTGTAGTTGTCTGTTCAATCCGTGGCGTGGCTTCAGCAAACATATCTTGAAAGCAGCTAAAGTTGCACGGTGTCCTTCTTTTCATGCTAAATTCATAACCTGTGAAAATGTCAGCAATTTGCATAAATCATACTCTAGTGGTACATCGTTAAACAATTAAATGTTTCTGCTGCAGTAAAATATTGTTGTTATAATGAATTACTGAGTTGAGTTTTACGCAGCAATATTCCAGCTATAATCGAGTCTAGACCAGACAACCCTGTGATAAACAGCATGAGCATCGATCTATGCAATTGGGATATGATGACATGTGGCAACCAAGTCAGCGAGCCTGACCACCCAATCCCGTTAGTCGCCTTTACGACAAGCATGGGTTACTGAAGTCCAATCCTTACCGGGATCTTCACTGGTTCAACAGTACATGTATTTTGGTCCCCTTCTCCTGGGCCCAGATTTTCGAAGCTCTCTTAGCGCTAAGATAGTCGTAAGTTAATGTTAATGTATGGCACTTACGACTATCTTAGCGCTAAGAGAGCTTCGAAACTCTAGGTTGTTATCAATTCAAACCCGGATCTTCACGGGTTTGTCGTTACAAAACTTGCTCTTCTGCATTATATACACAAAGAAAAATGTTAAGCACCCCTGATACTTTTTATGAATTTTTTCCCCATTCTTTAAAATAGTGATACAAAGTATAATAATGGGAAGAGTAGAGTTTGCGCTGGACGATATAACCAGTGATGCGTGACAATCGCACTCGTGTCGCTTGTGGCATGCACGTGCAACATGCTACCTTCGAGGATCACACAAAGCATCGCAATATATCGCAAAATGAAAATTCTCTGCAATACCCACCCCTACAAAGCAGTATGGCCCAATTGTATTTGTGGGTATCTAACGTTGGCTGAAACGGTCATTCAAGCATATTCATTGAACATGGCACGGAGACGATTGTCAATCGACACTAGGAATCAGATTATTGGTATGCATACCTTAGGAATGTCCTGTAAGGCAATTGGACGAAATCTGGGCTACCATTACACTGTTTTTAGCCGTTTAGTCCGGAAACATGCGCAGACCTGAAGTGCAATGGACCGCCCAAGGTCTGGAAGACCTCCTGTCACTACACCGCGTGAAGACTGACACGACTGATACGACATGCACGCCGAGAACCCTTCAGTACAAGTCCTCAGCTGAAGAGAAGTGGTGACCCAATCGACCCATCAGCACCAGAATAGTCAGAAATCGTCTCAAAGCGGCAGGATTGAAGGCCAGAAGAGTCATTAAACGTCCCTTGTTGAGAGACCACCATAAACGTGCATGACTGGCTTAGTGTTTGGCCAGACGACACTGGAATCTGAGGACCTGGAGAAAAGTCTAGTCCTGCAGCCAGTCATTGTCCCTCATTCCAATAACCATCCACTTGCTACACGACCCCCAGTACATGGACGACAACGCCAGGCCTCATGGATCACGTGTCGTAGTGGATTACATGAGGACCAATGACAACTCTACCATAGCCAGCGTTAAGCCCATATCTGAATCCTCTGGAGCATGTGTGGGACATTATAGGGCGGCGAATCCAGGCACGGTACCCTCCAGTACAGAATTTACATCAGTTGGAGGCTGCTCTGGATGCTGAGTGGTTGTTATTGACCCAAGAACAGATCCGACGTCTGACTGGAGGCATGAATAGGTAGGGTGGAATGTGTCATCCGGGTACGTGGCGGGTCCACCCGGTACTGATTAGTCTCACTGAACAGTACTGATTAGTCTCACTGAACACGTACACTGGTGTCTTCAAGGAATATTTTCATGTGACAATATCAATGTCAACACCCTTTCATTGACTTGCAGCTCCATACTTTAGGGTTTTTGTTTCGGGGTAAAAACAGTACCTGTGATAACATGACGCTGTTGCTATTAAATCCTAACACAGCTAACCGATGTTGCGTTTCTGTCGTGCCAGATGGTTGTTCTATCAGATAGCATTTGAATGTCCGAGCATTTAGGGTCATTGCCGACCTGAAATGTGTTTTGCCTTTTGGCATTGTGAACATATCAGGGAGTGGTTAACTTCTTTTTTTTGTATATGTGGGGTGCGAATCTTGTTTTCCCCTGCTTACTGGTGTCTGTCCAATACAGACTGACAGGAGCGGTGGGGTAGCCTAGTGGTTAAGGCTTTCGCTCGTCACGCAGAAGACACGGGTTCGAATCCCCTCATGGGCACAATGTGTGAAGCCCATTTCTGGTGTTCCCCGCCATGACATTGCTTGAATATTGCTAAAAGCGGTGTAAAACAGTACTCACTCACTCACTCAGACTGACACGCGTCCATACATTTTAACACATGGTTTCTTACTGATATCCTATAAAAACCGTAATATAGACACTGGAAAGAGTAACACAACACCTGTGATTTGTAAACCCCGATATAGCCATTTAAATTCATCATTATCTGTTTAATTGGCATAATTATATCTGCATGATTTCTTTTCACCCTTTGGGCGCAACATACATTGAGTTGAGACAAGAACGCTCCATGATCAAATAGCATCACATGCCATACGTGTACCCATCAATTAGCAAATATCACGTTTCAGTAAACTGTTCTTATAGCTCAATAACCTGGAAAATCAATTGATTTCACTGTTGATAAGCAAAAATGGGTCTTCTAATCAGTTGACATCTTCTCAACGATAGCTAGTAATCGGTATGTGGAATGCTGGCACGTCATTGAACCCTATTGCAAGAGATGTTGGTTGTCATCTATTGATGACTTTTTGGAACTGTAAGCGTTCAAGTCGATCACGAGTGACAACACCAAGGGAGGATACAGACATTTTGCGTGTTTTAAGAGTGACTTCCACACCGCCGTCTCTCCAACAGAACGGTCCGGCCGGGTACTGAGCTGGGTACGACCTTTCAGACGTCCATTCGTAACCTCGAAACACAAAGCAGCAAGACTAGCCTGGTGTGAAATTCGACGACCCTGGAAGTTTAGGAAGGTCCATTGGTCGGACGAACGTCGAATTTTTTTTTTTGATGACTGATTGCCGAGATTATGTTTCAAGTACCGCTCTCGAGGGGATTCATTGATGGTGTGAGGATGCCACAGAATGACTCTAAACTTGACCTCGTGACAAAATATGAATAGGCAACGATACATAACTGTCATCCTGGATGACATCCATTACTCCGGACACAAGGCCAGCCTTGATGGACCATACATCGTGATATTCTATGTCAAGAGTCTCAACCCGCCAAGAGTCCAGGTCCTGTAGTGCATTGGAACAAGGCCTATCAAGCCCTCCATCAAGAATGCAGTAGTTCAACGTCAAATCCAACGACTAATATAGTCAGTGTGTCGGAGATCAGGGACGTTATTGCACTTGGTGGAGGTTACACCAGATATTGACATTGTGCTAGCTTATTGATACTGATTGAGGATTGTATGCCAGAATCTCAAAAATGACCGCACTTGTTGAAGTCATATGACCATGGTTATCAGCACTCCCAAAGGAGTCGATTGTTGACATGTTTGCTTCTCTGAATAAACTGGTTTCTTGATCTTTTTGTATTTATATCTGTAACTTATTATTCCTTGAGGGTCAGGTTATCGACTATGAGTTAAGCCGAGGTTTGGACAAGGTCCTTTGCTATAATTAGTAGTGACTTAATGATATTGGGTGTTGCGATACTTGTTCCCATGTGTATATTACAGTCTTATTCAGTCTCTTCAGACTATACATACAGTTGGAGACTCGTCTTGGAGCAGAAATTTCTTATGATTTGGTAAAGGAAATAAAGGCTTACTATAGTATTATCAAGTGGAGTCATGGTAACTGCGGCCCTTTGTGCATTGACAATTCAATCATCTGAGGTAAATCTATATTTTAACGAATATACGGCACAGACGCAAGTACTGGTATGCATGCTCCTCTACTCTTTGAAAGTCAATAAGCCTGTCCGGTCATGTCTTTGTCTGTACACAGTAGTGTTCATAATGACATTAAGGGGCGTGGTGGGCGAGCTGGCTAAGGCGCCAGGCTAGTGATCCAGCGAGCATGAGGTGCCGGGATCGAGCCCACCTGTGACCGGGTGTAAAAACCTTGGACTCAACTTTGTGTGCAGACTCGTTAAGTGTTGTCACAACCCCTAGTGTACAGTACACAACCCTGTGTACTTAAAAGAACCCACGAATCCGTTGGTAAATGACCAGATGGTGGCCACATGAATACGTGCAAACACCTAGTTGCGGGTACAGCAACGTGCAGTAAACTTGGATAAAGTACTGTGACTATGTGTCCCAGTCCACCCAGCTGTGAGTGGGTACTTTGCAAAGATGGAAAAGCCGCAATAGCTCGGTTCGCCTTGTGGCAACAAGAGTTGTATGCTTCCCAGGGAGTTGACATTGATAATAAGATGTGAGGTTGAGATTGACATCCAATGATCAAGGGAAAAATACCAGCGCCTTGAGCATGCACTAGTGCGTGGGTATGTGCGCTATATAAATACCCAAAAGGTGAGGTGAAATTGGTTTTAACGTCGTGCTTGAGAATATTTCGCTCATATGACGACGTGCATGCGTGTGTATGTGTATGTGCGGCTGCTTGTACTAGCCCAGGTTTAAGCCAATGCCGCAGTGAAGCATGAATACACCACTCAGACACATTATACTGAATCCGAGCCGACCGGTCCTTGTTGTACCCATTAATGCCGAGCGCCAGGCAGGGACCAACAAGTACCATATTTTAACGTCTTTTGTTATGACGCGGTCGGGGATCGAACCTGCGACCTTCCGCTCCCCGGGCGGACGCTCTAACCATTACACGACGGTGGCGGTCAAATATCCAATAATAATAATTACCATATCTTCTACGGCACCAGTAGAACGTTTCCTTCCCCCCAAGACAATTGTTGCACTGGAGGACGTCTTCATGGGCCCTTATGCGGTAGGCGAGGTCGGTGGTCCCTGATTTGCACACGCCAAGAATATGGTAATATGGGACGCACTTAAGACGAAATGTCCCGTTCTCTTTTGCGTACCAGCAGGGGTTCTTGAAGTTGGGCAGATATTTGGGTCTTTCCTGTTATATGAGACAGAACGTTATATATTAGCACTTCATATGGTATGATGCGTAAAACAGCATAATCTTGATAGATGCTCAGCACACAAGCATCATGGTTCCAGATGAGTGAGTAAGTGAGTCGTAGTCTTACGCCGCAATATTCCAGCAATATCCCGGCGGGAGAACACCAGAAATGTTTTCACACATTGTACCCATGTGAGCCCCTCGGTTCCAGATGACCTTTCAAGACCCAATAACACTTATACGCTGTCGTAATTATTGTTATTCGTTCTGTAGACATGGGTGTGTAGCACGTTTCATCTAAATCAAAACGCGACTTTTGACATACATTCAAGCCACCACAAATAGCTTGATCAATTAACGTGTCCTTTCTGTGTGCAGTAATGGTTTGGGAAAACACAAGATTATGATACTTTCATCGAAGCTCATGTACACGCCTGGTACTTCAAAGAGAAGTGACAGTTCAATATTCAGCTATTTCAGTGGGATAAAGCGTCTGTGAATTGTGTGTCCGGTGCGGAGAGTATATGGTCGTGGACGTCTCCTATGAACGCCGGCACCTTTAGTTTTAGGTAGGTAAAGCAGTGAAGCATGCTAATTGGTAGAGAATGGTAGATTATGGGAGGCTAACTAAGGTGAGCGGAACATGGGTAAACTGTGTGAAGCCCATTTCTGGTGTCCCCCACCGTGATATTGCTGAAACTTGCAAAATGTGGCGTAAAACAATACTCAATTACTCCTGCACTTTCCAAAAATAAGAAGCAAATCCTTTACATACCATACAGAATAGATCCTCTGCCGTGTGTAACCCTCCTCCCACACACCGAATTCCATGCTTCTCTGACGTATTGTCTACTTTCTTGGATTCAGATAGGTAACCATGTGAAGACATGT